ATGACGGATGATTTGAAAAGTGCTGAATTCATCGAGTCGAGAAAACTGTGACTTGAACTAAATTATGATTGCAAACTGTGTCAGCCTAATACTATACCGTTGTACTCCATAGTACTATGTATATATACTCATTTTGACTTATGGTTTCGCTTTTTTTTTTTAAATAAACTTCAAAGATAAATTGTAACCCCGAAAGTGTTCATAAACGTTTATCAAATACAATGAACAATTTCAAAGATAATTTCTACCCTACAAAACTTTCTCAGAACACGATCAACGTCGATTATCTAAAGGTATATGAAGTGTTTTGTAGAATTACAAAGCCATTGTTGCATTTGCTCAAAAAATTAAATCATTCAATACCGTTTTTTCATTAAATCCATTTAAACCAAAAACGGCTATTAGGAAATCCGAAATAGGAACATTGTTTTTATAAAACAGTAATAGAGTTTGATGGTGAAAAATAAAAACTATCGCTACATAAAATGTGCGCACAATTCCGGATGGCAGAGATGTTGGAATTAAGGGGATTGTACAAGAAATATTTAGGAAAAAAATGTTTTTTTTTTAGTTTTATTTGTATAAACTTCAGAATGTATTATTTTTAACGTAAACAATTTTTTCACATCATTAAAGCAATACATAAAAAATCCGTTTCCATCATAACCTAGTAAAGTAGCCAACGAACTCGTTCATTGTTACAGAACTGAAATCAGACCATCCTCTAATGATCCCAAACCTATGTCAAGTTTTATAGTTTAAAACGTCAAAAAACCACTGTGCTGGGCTTATTTTTGTATTGTATATTAATTTATCCGCTTGTAGTATTATATAACTTTTAAATCAGTCTAGTTACAATTCAGTTAAATAATTGTAAATACCATTCCGCGTATAAGCTAATAAGTTTTCAACTTCCGTGTTTTAAAACTTTTTTGTTATCGTTTCTAAATCGAATCAAAAGTTTTAACTTAATACCAGGTAGTTATATATAACTATCATCCCTCAAGTCGCAAGTCACAACCCTTTTAGGACTCAAATCCCAATGGCAAAATTATGAGAGAAGAGTCATACCCTGTTAGTATAATCAATCATTGTAAACGTTGACGGCCACAATGCTCTTTTATTTATTCAAAAATCTCATAATGTCGAATCAAATCAACATGTTTAATACATTACACAATTAATCGGCGACACACATTCCAGTTTAATTGCATCATTGTAGGTACCTTGCCGATGATACAGTTTATTGTTTTTAACAAGTAAAAAAAAACCGACCGTGTGTTTTTTAGCACTTACTTCCAACTTAATACCACTCTATATATTGCCACAACTTTACAAAAATTAAACAGGAAAAAACAGTGCCATTTTGAATCTATATTCACAAAAAAACAGTTTATTTATGCTTAAATAGGTCATTTTTTTATAATATTATATCAAAACATACTTACTTATAAATCAATGTAAGGAGTTTCAATACAAATGTAAAATATTTCTGAGGTAACTTGTTTAGTATAATACATTTATCTTTTGTATCTCTATCAATATATGTTTTACGGTAACATTGGACTTCGATTTAAAAAAATTTTGACGACATAATGAAAATTTGAGTAAGAACATTTTTACCCATTTTTGTTGTTGTTTTTTTTTTTGGTTATGTTATTGAAAGCCGAGATCCAAAACATCCTCCTCCTTCAAAAATATACGTCAACAAATAAAAAATAAGTTCACATAATCAAAATTCAGAAATTTCCAGTAGTACGCGACTACAATTTTATCAATTGGACCCTAAATGGTTAAACTTATTTCAATAGAGTTTTCTGATTTAATCAAATATAATATATTCCGCTGTTGTATTTATAAGTTTATTAAACGATTACTGAAAACTTTATAGAAAGAGAAAAGCCACTTGGAACAAATCTGAAACTTTGGATAGTATAAAACGCTTTTTAACTCCAAAATGATTTTTAATGCGTTAATCTCAAATGCTGTTGACTTTTTTTTAAATCTTATAATAATTAAAGTACTGAACAACACTGAAATCTGTAATTTGACAGCCGTATAAAGAAGCTAATCGATTGGCAATTTTTTTAATTATACAGGGTGATCCAATTAACATAAGCTGCGTATTTTCTCAGATAATAATATTTTAGTTAATGCATTTTTCATTAATAATCAGCATGCAAAACGTTGTAACAATGTTATATTTAATAAGCGGTGAACTTCTTTCGATTGAAAACAACCCTTATTAAAGCTGAAAACGTCGTAATAAACTTAAAAATGCATACAAATTAGCTCATCGACAAAAACTAAAAAAGTAATTTGTATTATGGTATCATTTACTAAATACTAATATAAAGTTATATAATAATATTAGTATAATATAAGTTTTAACATAATACAGTATATATAATTTGAAATTGAGTCCGTTGGGATGACGGTCTAAAAATAAAAACTACAAAATTGTAACTATTCAAAAAAAAAACGGTGGTTACAATCAAATGTATTACTCTTATAATAAGTTTACTAGCTAAACCAATTACAATCAGTCCCTCTTTTCAATAAGTAACCGAGTCTGAATGACTTGAGGAAGATATTATTTTGGTTAAGAATAAGTAACCTTTTTTTTTATTTAGCTACTTATGAACAATATTGTAAACGGTAGCAGATATGTTTTAAAAGTTTTACAAAACCCGAATGAAGAAAAGAGGTAAGAAGAACAATACCGAACAGAAATTATATCAGGTGGTTTTACTAACTATTTATTTTCAAACATTCTCAATAATATCCTTCAGCGTATCTAGATTTGCCTATACGAAACGCCGTTGTAACGATTTTAATGCCAATCGATTTTACATTCTTTCCTAATTTCTGCAAAAATGTTATTTTATTAATTTATCTAGTTACATCTAAGATGTGAATTATCATATATTCTATATGTTCGTACTTATACATCCCTCAATCATAACGCACTTAATTGGATTCAACTTTGTTGTTATAATTAACATAAACAATTACAATTTCGATTGTCAATTTCAATTTTGGATATTCAATCGATAAATGTAATATAATTTTTACTTTTTTGAATTTTGCTCGTCAATTATTATGAATCATGAGTAGCGTTCAATATTTTTGTTTGTTGTTTATTCAATCTTTAGTTTCAAATGAAGTTTGATTTAAAAATAGATGCTTCTATATACAGTAAGTTTTAGCAGTTATCGTACGATACAATTACTAACAAATGGTACAGTGCTTTTTTATTTGAACGGAAAACACCAGCTCCCTCAGTCGTTTTCGCCGGCTGCTTGAATGACGGTTGAATCGGCTAACGGACAGGTGACGCCTCTGTATACGTTTCTCGATTGAGAAATTTATTGTTATTACATTAAGCAAACTTAGCCGATGACCACAATGTAGCCGAAGGGACAATGACTTTTTTTTTATGCCGACGAAGGACATAAATATATCAAGCCATAAACCAACAAACAGAGACAAAATCTTTAGACCTTTTCTTTTGCAATAAATACTCTTTTATTTTTATTATTGATTTATGAACAAATGGAAATTTCTAAAAAACACGATATTTAAAAATTGTGTTGTACTGTAAAAGCATTTCAAATGGAATAAAAACATTTTTGCTGTCATTTTACATTAATCAATATAATATAGCCTATTACATAATATGTATTATTATGTAAGTAACAATAATAATTGTATATTATGTATATCATTATTATATTTTATAGCGTGATTATATAATAATCGAGACGCTGTTGGCCGAAATCAATATTTCAACATGGTTAATATAATTTTCAGTCAATCTCCCTTCTAATAGTACCATATCATAACTTGCGAGAAAAACATTTTTTTTTCAACAAAATTACTTTATATTAATATGTCCGAATATCAAAGTGCGGTATACCTCTAACGGCGCATAATTTTATGATTTAAACATTTGTTAAATTAAATAAAATACAATTGAAAATTGTAAATAAATTCTATTTTTAGTTATCAAATGCATGCGGTTAGATATGATTTGTCATGATCATCAAACTATTAACGTTAAACACTTTTTAGTGTAAGAGCAATTGTTATTCTTTACACGTAAACTTTGCGTTGATTTACTTTGTTGGACAGCCAACAAAAGCATAGGTATAATCCAACATACGACGTGTTAAGGATTAGGTGTCCGTAGAAATAATATAATTATTACACGCATGACTATGTGTATGCATTAAAATGTATTTCCGTCGAGCACGGATCGGTCAATTAAATGTCTTAGAGTCGAAACAAAAGAATTTTAGCTAACTCATTCGGGTTAAGGCTACGCAATCGGAATTTACAACAAACTTACCCAAAACGTATACATTAATTTTCTAACTTTGCGGCGACGTTTCAATTTTTAACGATTCTACCGCACGAAATGAGTTTTAATTTTTTTAACAACGACGACTAGTTAAATTTATGTGTTCTTTTTACTGTAATGCTATCATAGAATTATGAACTTGAGCAAAATTTCAAAAGTCGCGAATACAAAAAACAATTTGTTACTATGTACGTAGTATAATATATTATGTATAAAGATTAAACCGAAGAACGTATGTATATATATAAGTAGAAATCTAATTCAGAGGCTGTTAACTGTTTTTGTATAGACACCCATATAGCCAGGTTTGCGCAGAAAGCGATAAAAGTTTACTCGAAAAAGCTCGACGTCACAAAACCCATCGGTTGACAATAATATTATAATAACATAGCATCATCGCAATGGAGTTTATTCGCAATAGACAGTAAAAATATATAATAATAACAAAGTCATATTTACAATGTCGTGTGATAATATAAAAACGTACAAATAACGTGTCCTCGTTTTATCTGTTTTATTTGTATTGATCACACAAAAGAACCGAAAAGGAAACCCCGATAAGTATATTATAGTCTGAATATTAATACTAATAATTCTGTTTAATGTTAATATACGTGGGTAATATATTATATTTTACCTGTGCCACTTTTTCGCCCATGTTCGGCGTATGCAGTGCGCCTTGGAAGAATTTTGCCGACCCATTGTCTTGGATGGAATACTAAAACAATACAAATACAAAGTTACTCCAAGTTATTGATTCGGTCGTAAGTCGAAAAACTATAAATATATATTTTTATTTGCTTTTTGACACGTTGCAATGATGCGAAAGACATTGCTATACCTGCGACCTATCCTTATTCTCGTAGAAATCATATAATTCAGAAAACAAAATAATATCAAATAAATGGATAATTAGTTACTTTGATTGCTTCTACATATATACAGAGCATTCTGCACGACATTGTTAAGTTTCATTTTTACAATATCCATATAATACAAAATAATACAATATTTTTATTAATACCTTGATATTAATTTAATGACCTTTAAAATACCATTTCTCCTGTATTAATAATAATAGATGTTAGCTAACAATCTATTACTATGTTTTTTTGTTTCTTGATCCTCTAAGGTATTAACAAATTTTAGACTTTCTTCTTGAATCACAAATCTAGTAAATTATTAAATTAATTTAGTAGTTTTACACTTTAATTAGGGTAATAAAAAAAACCTATTGATACTTACAAAATACGTATAGTTATAGAGTAGTTAGTCACCCTTAATATTATTATTATAAGAAACGTTATATTAATACCAAGGTCTATAAAAATAACGCAACATACTCGATAAACGTGATGAAAAAATGTGACATTTAGAATTTTAATATCGCGTTATTAAAAGGTGTATGTACTGTTGTATACTGTAGTCTGTAACACGCCTTTAGAGTACATATTCTATATTCTAACAATAGTATCCCATTCTTATTTTATAATATAATATGAATAATCAATAAAAGTTTCGTGGTTTTTTCGAAAACAATTCTGCCTTGTTTCCTCAAAAACATCCTCGCGTTTATATCATATTTGAATACAAACCTTTTATAAAATAGCTATTTTTTATTTTATTTTACAATATTTTATATTTTATTTTATACGTTTTTTTTTTTATTGGCGATATATGTAAATTCTTTCTTGATATATTACTTTTATTTTGACTTATGAATAGAAATACATGTTTTTATATCCGAATCAGTCCAAACAAACCCTATTGGACATTGTGTCCAACATTAAATGCAAGGGTAAGAGGAAATTGAAATGACTAAGAGAAAGAAACGAAGAAGACAACTGAATAATAAAAAAAGTTTCAAATCGCGATTGTGAAAGGCGGGTGATTATATGATTATATTTTGGCAGCGGTCCAAAATTACAGAGTAACCCCGTTCATTAGGCCGTTCGTGAATCGATATCATTGTTAAGTAAAATACAAGTAAAATGTTTACATTTTGACTTTTGTACGCTCATTTATTTATAATAATCAGCATGACGTGATATCTGCAATCTAATGTATTTTCCACCGTGGACTCGCTGTATAATGGCGTTCATTGGATTTTTTAAACTCATCTTATAACTTTAAAGTTACTAGGTATAATATAATATATTATATTTACCATATAGGCTATATAGGTATATAAGTATGATATATAGGCTCTCTAGCTTAGCGTTTAAACCTGGATTACCTATGTATAACAGCACCAGCTATATTCCATAACTTAAAATTTACCGGATATATTTGCATCGACGTTTACGGGCAACAACGGCGGAACGGATAATATATCTTTCCATAAACGTCGTTCCACCTACGAACCACAACAGTGAGTCCTTTACTTAACCCTCAGTTTCGGCCAACTCGATAAAACATGTACAGGAGGTATATATATATATATATACCACATTTAAATGTAAATCATTTTTCTAAACTAATTTTCGTGGCTTTTATTTCACGGAGAGTTTGGCGCAATAAAACTGTATAGAGCCAATGCCGGCTGTTGGCTATGGCGTATACGTGCACGCAAATTGAATATTGCTGTGCTGGCGACTTTACAGGACGGTTAACGGCTTCTGAACCTTACACCGAACACGCTTATATTATACGCCTATGTATACTGTATAAGTATATATACAACCGGGAAATCCGTACTTGACGCGCGAGGTGACGTGCAGTATAAACGTACTTTGTATTTGAGACTTTCCGATGCCAGGTTGCCCAGTGATGTCGAATGGTCCCATAACGCGGACGTGTTGAATTTTTGTAAGTCCGTTTCAGACGACGTGTCCGGAAAACTTTTCCCGGTAAAATGACTCCTGTAAGCTGTAAAACGACCGTTTATTAAAATCGGTTTGTCACGAAACGACAGTTATAATAATAGCACGACGATTGATGTTTGGCGACGATAAGGCCGAAGGGCATAATGCAACAAACACTATGCTATAATAATTTGTATTGTTACACGGACAGCGAAAATCGCATGTACTAATTCACCAACTATATACCACTCAATGACTCGGAAGATGATAAACTTTTTTTTATTATTATTTTTTATACATTTTATAGTCAGTAGTTCAACCAATTTTAATTTATTTTTCAGAAATAAAACCCCACCCCGTATGTGTTAAAAACGTATGAACTTATTTACTTGTACTTTTTATGAAATTGTATCCGATATTTGGGTGATAACTAGAATATCAATTTGTTCGAATTCTACACTAGTGAAGTCTCTCTAATAAATAATATAAATTATTTCATTGAGCTCAAAATTCCCAATTTTTGACAAACGTCGTTCACTAAACAAAAAAATGTTTTTAACTGTATATGTATTATAAATGAAAAATTTCACAAGCATAAATACACACACATGTATATACACCTAATCCAATTCTTTGTTATCTTTTAGTATGCTACATTTCAACTGAATTAAATCATTTTGTTAGGGCATATCAATGCCCTAACAAAATGATTTAATTCAAAATCATTTATTTAATTATCAAATTAAATAATTAGCTACTTTCTTCTGTATTATTGTTTTCAATAGGAGTATAGAATTTAACTTTCGAGAAACATGCCACGGAGTAATGCTTACAACAGTATACAAATTACTTAGCATAGTTCGAAAAATTGAGTAACATCGGATTGTCATAACAAATTGTAGTAATTGTTTGTACAACGAAAATAAAATAAAATTATTGTTCACCAGATAACAACCGTAATTTTACGTGTAACATACTATATTAGCATTATTATGATCGGTAAATTACAAAATTTGATTTTTTAATTTCCGATGTTAAAATTGTATGTAAATGTAATAACTGATTTGCATAACTATTGGCTTAAGTTTAACTAACTTAACTAGCCTAATTATAGCCGTAACTAGGCTATATTTTGATAATATTATTTTGTTATCTTCAACATCGTTGAAAAATGTAATATTTTATTGTCTCCGAGCAAGCCGAATAAACAGAAAGCAAGCAATAAGTTATGAACTAATTAAAAAAAAACAATTTATTTAATGTGACACAATAAAAGACTTGAAACTAATAAATATAAACCAATAAAAGAAAACTTAAACCTTAACTTTGTATGCCAATATATTTTTATCTTAAAACTTTAACAACAAATGCGAATAACATGCAACTTTTACGTCATGCTTACGGGCATATAAATATATTTATTTTTTTTAAATAAAAAGCTCGTTTTTTTAGCAGTATCGTTAAAAAACATTGTTTTTTGTAGTACAAACAATTTAAAATATTAACATTAATATGAAAAAAATATATCAAATTACTGTGATTTTTAGCTTTAAATTACACAATTTTAAAGCAACTTTTATACGTCAAATTACATAACAGATCTTGAAAAATCTTTTAAACTCAGCTATATTAATAGAAGCGCTAAAACGCATACTTCAGTTCAAAATACTTATTGTTTAAAACAAACTAAATGGCGAAATAAATCATGATCATCCATTAAATAAATTGTGAATTATAATTAGTCAGAGTAATTTTTAAAAATAAATTTATCTTAATATTAAAAAGTACCTATAGTTTAATAAATTATGATAATTGTATATCCTACTGTATGAAATATATATACTATTGTATTTTACAATTTTTATATGTAAATGTTGAAAAAAGCGTTTTACATAAAATTGAAGTACAATTGATCAGAAAAAGTATTTCTTTAAACAGAAGTGGACTGATGATACAGATATTAGATAGACGTCCGCTATGCTATTACTTCTAAAATTCAAAACTTAACTATAAATGTATATACTATATAGAATTAGGTACACTACTGATTTCTATCAAATAAAAGCTTGTTATACATTTAAATAGCCGCAAATAGTATTGCATTTTTTTTGTTATACAAATACAACAAGCCGTCATATGTTTTAGCCTTAAGGTATTTAACAAAATAATATTTAGTAGACGACACTACATATTATGCTAATAATTATTGTGAATCAAAAATATTATTTAAAAAAAGTATATTTAGATAAAATTGGGGTAAAGATTATTTGGTATTTTGCAAGTCAATACCTTCAGTAATGTTTTCGATAGTATGTGGACGTGTTGGTCTTTGAAATTGATCCTTTTCAACGTACGACGACACTATAGCGGCAAATCATGCGAAGAATAAAAAAACAGACGAATACGAAATAGACACAAGAAGAAAAATTGTAACACAAGTTAAATAAAAAAAAACAACGCACCCAACCAAAATTACGGGTTTCTCTAAAACACAAACGTACTTACATACAGAGTCGGTGTTAGACCGTACAGGGGGACTTCCGAACGACTGGTGTCGCTCTGGTGATTTATCTTGTGTTTTTAAAGGGTAAGGAGCTTCTGGTGTTCTGTGTGATTGATAAATCTAAATAAATACACATCGATATTACTTCAAGTTTACATGTACTTAATATATTATATAAAGTACACTTATACGTATATATAAGCGTATTAAAAAATCTTTGTAATTTTTTATAATTTCAACTATACAATCTTACGTTATTGACGGAGTACTAGGTAAAAACACTACCCACCCCACAAGCCCTATCCAAGTATCAAATTTAATAAGTAGCTATTTATGCAATAATCAGTTTTGAATATGTAAAAAAGTCACAACACATCCATTAATAGTATAAATTATCAAAAGCTTGTCATACGTTCTTAAATAAAGACTAAAAAATATATTATAATTACCTACATATTTTAACATGGAGTTAGTTAATATTTGTATAATCTAAATTGATAAAAAAAAAACAATAATTTTAGAGAAATTAAAATTTTTTAATAATCAGTTGTAACAGCAAAATTGTAGACACTAAGTGACCTATATAGAACGCGATCCTCAAAGTTATTATTTTTTAATTATTACTTAAAACAAGATGGGAACTTAATAGGTTTAAAAAATATTTGTTTTTATTCTGCTCAATATACAATAGGCGAGTTTGCCTCGAGGGTCAATCTATATGATCTCTAGGGCTCTCTAGGGGAACGTTGAATATTACATCCCCCGGGGTGTCAAAGGTTAGTACAACGATGAACTTTATTTGCAATCTCAAAAACAGCTTTATCCATTGTTTGTAAAGTGAAAAAAAAGGAAACAAAACAAACTTTTATCTCCGGGAAATTCTCAAAATCTTTTCAATACAATTTATTAGAACCAAGTTAATTGTAAAGATAGAATTAAAAAAAAAAGTTTTACATCACTTTATGACTTTAGTACCGCTATTCGAAAGCATTCTACCTGATCGGCTTCTCGTACTATATTTAAGGAGCGGAGATGATTCTTGGAAACTGAGCCAAGTCTAACATTAGCATTGTGTTGGGGTGTTTATGTAATTATGTCCGTCTTGCTAAAAAAAACTGACGCTACCAAAAAAAAAAAAATAATGTATATTTATTAATATTAATATTTCAAAAAGAACAATAATCTCAAAAGCCCTTTAAATGTCGGCTTAAACACACCTATTATTTTTAATTTTAATACTGGAATATTGTGCAAGGTATATTATTTATTCGAGTTAATTTTAAAAGGGTGACCACTTCTTCAACAGTCTTTAAAATATTAAGTTTTTATAGGCCAGAGTATTAAAGAACCCTTTGCGCATGCATGGATAAAATATAAGAATGATTATAGTGCTATAAAGATCTAAAAAAAATAATATGTTAGTAATATATAAGTTTATATCGTTTTTATAATAAAATGTATTAATATAATAACGATATTGTTTAAATTCAATAGCAATATTTAGAAGCTTTTAATTATATGCTGTCATTGATACATTAAATAAATAACTCAAAAATTAACAGAGCGAAAAGTAAACCTTAAAATAATTTTGATGTTTCATAAACACGTATTTTTCCATAATTCATTCTGTATTTCTATTGGCTATGATAATATTTTTGATGATAAAACATATTTTTATAGTCCAACTATATTTTTAAATCATATCCTACGTTTTTACGACTGTATATTATTTGTGTCGGATAAAAACAAATTCAAATGAATACAATGTGTACCTAACCTGTTATACGTGTAACACCTACGTGGATTTTTTCAGGGATATCGTATAAGAAGAGACCGGATAACAGCCTCACCGGGTTTTGGCGTCCCCACTAAATAGCTTTTCCAGCTTTATATTGCAATTGCCTCACAACTCGTATAAAAAACAGTTGGAAATGATTGCAAGCATTAGCATAAACACTAAAAAAACCACCGGCATGCCACAGCAGATAAAAATAAACCAAACCAAACAAATAATTTATTTTCAAAGGTTTGGAAAATAAAATCGAATATTGTGGCAAAAATACACACATTTTTTTTTCGCGGATTTTGAAAGTCTCATTACGTTATATCGATAACTGATAAGGCACTTGTTTTTTACATTAATCTGTTAAAGTAGTTCAAAATAGGGGTTTATTATAAATCCATTAACAATCTTACTTCTCTCGAGCTAAGGACGGCTCCAACCGAAAATAAATTATATTTAGAAGTCGTATCGCAATGAGAAACGTTTAGCTGTTCACAGAGTTTACAATATTTCCACAGAAGTATATTTTGGATAAAATTAATCAGAAATAAATGTCAATGGTGTACTTACTCAAAAATAGTCTACATGTATTTTATAAACGGTATCTTAATCCCTTCAAACCGAAACCACTTTGTTTTAATTAGTTTCAGTATATTTTAACATTTTTGTCAGTTCAAGTTTTAAGAGTACCAATCACTAGCCTCACCTATATAAACAGCATTTTTCTAACTTGGCTATCTATAATATAGTAGACGTTAAATTGAAAGACATTACTTTTTATATTACACAGGAGAAAGCCAATACAAAAAAAATAGTACATTTTTCTTTTAATTGGTCTTTATTTAGCATCAACTTAGCGATCAATAATAGTTAAATTAATATTGCCACCCCCTCCTTTCTTCCTTGTTGTCGCGATAAAAAATATATAATAATAAGAATTCCTATCAATATTATTTACTTATATTTTATATTTTCCTTATGTTCTTTACATTATACGATTTTTTTTTATTACATTTTTTTTAACGCTTTTTAAGAGCCAGTACTTGTTTTTTAGTAATACTTTTTATTCCTTAGATAAAACATGTTAAGAAGTTTTGCCTAATATTCATAAATAATAAATTATAGTGTTATTACACAAATCAAATGAAAAATGAAAAATAATTTAATTTTATAATAGACGTTAAGCGTTATAGCGTTAAGTGGGTTAATTGTATACAAATAGGACAAATTTAATAAAATATGAAAGATTCACTATAATCGTAAACATAAATCATTATCAACAACTCTTTGTTTTTGTTGGAAATTACTTCTAGTAGAAAGTATTTCTTCTGTATTAACATAATATCATAGACATAAAATACAATATTTTTCTGTTTATTTATATAAAAATAATTGGGTTAACATTTTTCCCCATTTGTTTACAACTATTGCTTGACCCTAAGTGAGTAACTTAAGAACTATACATTAACTATTATTATTGCTACACTCCTCAAAAGGAATTCAGACAAATTTTAGAATTTAATAAAATAGGTTAAAAGTTAACGTACTTGGTGTTCGGATGGTATGTACAAGTTACCAGGTACATGTGAACTGGCGGAAGAGCTGGCTGCTGCAGCGGCGACCTCGTCCTCGATTCGAGCAGAAGTCGTGGACGTGATCACACTTTCGGCTGCTGCCGTCTTCAAACTGTAAACAACATGTGTTTACAGTGACCAACTTGGAAATAAAGTTATACGATAAGATGACGTAATACCCCTATATTTATTAGGGATTCGGTGTGGGAAATTGGAGTAGGTACAACAAAAACTCGCCTTAATGAATCCGCTTTGGGCGACGAGGGTGTTTTCAGTTCACCGGCGGTTGTGCTGCTCTCTTCGTCATACTCATCATCGTGGGGCAACGGTGTAAGTCGACCAGTTTGTCTTGTGTTTCGGCCTCGGAATGAGCTCATCCGCAGCGACTGCCGGAACGACTGTCTTGCCCTATCGACTGTATATCGATTGATAAACAACCAAACGACAAAATACTACCATGTTAAATGTTCTCTAACGTCTGTACTAAAATAGTAATCAAGAATAAAATGGAAAAGAATTTATTTTTAATTTTTTTTATAGTAAAATAAGAAAATAGGGTATGTAAGGGTTTATTCTGCAATAAAATCAAAATATAAAAGTATAGGGTAAGTGCAGTAACCTAACTAAATATTAACTTTTTTTCAAAATGTTGGTTTTTTCAAAATACATATTTTTTACCCTTAAAATGATGTTGAATACATAAATTTGTAAAATGCATTTAAACGCCTTTAATACTCTCTTCAAGGTCTGGTGTAACCCTGGAACCACAGAGGTTGCCTAACTTAGCCTATGTGCGGTAATTAAAAAAAAAAAGTAGGGTGGGTAATTTATCTAAGACACTACGCACATACAACATAGTAAATACACAAAACAACACAGTTTGATAATATAATATGTAAGTTAAATAAATTGTATAATAATTGTATTACATTTACTCAGTCTGGATGTCGGGTCTGGCTGGTCGACCGGCGATTGTGGCGCCGTTAGGTCTTCAAAGTTGATTATGTAAAGGCATATGTCATCTACTTCGCTCTTCACCGGGGCGATGACCTCACTGCACAGGAACTTGGAACCTAAGTACAAAAACGGTAGACACATCAAATTAATTATACATATACATATATAAATACATTACACCGGTACTCGGTTTAAGTGGTTCGCCATTTTCGTATAGTGTGCGTTTTATTATAGACAATAACGATTGACATTATATTATTAGCTATACTGTAATATTCCTAGAAATGGAGGATTCGGCCAATACAATTATTTTGTATAATTGTCTTGGCACCGACCGTAAAGGTCACTAGCAAATAAATCTCAGACGGGCGACCTTTCGACAAAAGTGCGCGACCGCAAGCAAAAATGACAAAAAAAAATCCTCTTTTTTAACGCAATACTGTTAATGGTAACTACTCTGTTTATTTAGTTTTGTTGGCACACGACACACGTAAGCTACGAATTAAATATCTTTGCAATTGCAACCGGCGGCTATAAATCCAATCAGCGTCTCGATTATTGACCGTCGTAAATTCATTACCGATCGCCATTGGGCCCAAAAGAAATCCAGTTTTTAATAAAAAAATATAATAGCAAATCTTTTTTTATTTTTCAACACTATTGACTATGAATTTACGTTTAATAATAGGCAATAATATGTACTTTGCGCGCTCGACCATATTTAGAAAACAATAAAATAATAATTGTATTTACTCAATTATGGGCTGCTATATTTCTATACCTAATATTATTATTGTTGACCTGAAAAAAAACTAGACCACGAACGTTATCAGAATGTACCGTAGCCCAGCAATAAGCATCAGCTTCTTAGTAAATCTATAAATTCATAAGCCGGTAAGACCCAAATAACGCAGTTAACTAAAAGACAATTTTTTAATCGAAATTACACTATATTTAGTTACATTTATTTAGTTACACTGTATTTAGTTACATTAAATTACACTATATTGTCAGGTTTTTTTTAAAGTAATATGTAATAGAAATTAAACTTGTCGTGCAACTTTAACATTGCTTATATTAATATAATAATAATTTATTTTTTCCAGCAGAACAAAATCGTAAATAGATATCATTAATAAAAAGTAACCAAGGAAATGCAATTATTTCATTAAAATGATTGATAAAACTACTTCCAAATACAAAATTAAAAACCTAATAAAGAAGACCATTTACGTTTTTAATATATTATTGAATTTGTACATAAAATTGAAACTAAATAAATATTTATTACATTAAATTGCAATATTTCAAAAATGTGTAATAGCCACAACGTGTTTACACGGTTTTTTACATAAGTCCTAAAAAACAGTTTGCTTACTATTAAAGACCTCCAAAAAAAACGCAAATGCCTAAAACAAAAAAAAAAGCAGATGCATCATAAAAAGAATTATGAAAATTATCAACGACATGTAAATGAATAAACAAAAAATACAATTTTCCAGATGTAACATTCTAGACTTTTATTCATATGAATATGTTGAAATGTCTTTGTGTTTTATTACTTTTTATTTTTGTATTCTCTTTAAAAGTAAAATAAAACTAACAGAAATAAGTTTAAATTTCGCATTCGCAATTTTATTGATGTGTATAGTATTTGTTTAAATAATAGTAAATACATAAAATGCTGACGTCATTTTTATAAACAAACAAATAAGATATTAGTTTTATTGGAGCATAAAGTGGTGGGTAACGGTTTTACCCTAATTACCCGTTTACTAAACGGCAAATGATTAGCTTGTTTTACATGCCGTGGCTGGTCTCCCGCATTTTTAGTATTTTTATCCCCAGTTTTAGCAATCAAAAACATTTATTTCGTCATTAGATTATACATATGTAGATGGATGCCTGTAAAGTACAAATTAATTAACACACACTTACTTCCAACCAGTGGTCATTGATAGCCACTATCTAGCGTATTACTTGGAACACTTGCCTACCCTTCAATACCCACTCACCTATATACAACAATTTCCAATTCTCAGAGTATTATGTTACCCACAAAATCACGCTTAACACGCCATTGATTTCAACGTTTTTCAGTAAAGTTAAGGTAAAGTATACCTTTTAGAATTATTAAATCCTTTTATTTTGCTATTAAAAATTACTTCTATTCTGGAAACAATTAATATAATTTTTTTTAATGTAACAAGTTCAGATTAAAAAAAAATACTAATAAATCTTGTTTTATATAAATTTAAAGGGGAAATGTAAATCAAATTCAACTTTCTTGTCACACAAACCGCAATCGTGCTCTCTCCAAAAGAGTATTGTACTGTATTTCCGAGTCTCGGAACCAAGCACATTTAAAATATGTTGAATTGCATATTCAATTATTGTATGTAACTTTATGATTTAAAGCTAAAATAAAAACAATTCTTAATAATTTGGTTTTATTAGTTTGTTAAGTAAAAATTAATTTCTCGCCTTTGAATAACTTCTTTAACTAATTTATTGTATATACAATTTTTGCATTTTTCATATTCATAAATAAATTGTGTGCGTGTGTGCATGTTCGTGCACAGACAAAAGAAAATACATCGTCAAAACCTCATTCGTATCCTAACAATAAATTGAAAAGCTCAACTTTTTAATTAACAAATCGATTTGCATCGTATTGTTGTGAATTGGCTCAGAGTCTTATGTTTTAAGACAAACCCATCGCCGGCACTAACGCTTATTGTGTTCACAATTTTCCTCTTGCGCATAAGAAATTATTAAAAACAAACTTGGTGTGGTGAAACGTCGACGTTTTAAAACTTGACACATTACAACTGTAGAACGCACAAGTGAATCTCATAAACTAAGCAAAAACATTTAATTTAACACTAAATTAAACAACTAACATTAATATTAAATGTTAATAGTATAATTATTATTATCATTATTGAACATTTTTTAGGTTGAAATTTGGACGTTGCTAAATGAAAGGCTTTTCAATGAAGTAAATGTTTTTATTACATTTTTCGTCATTCGTATATCTATACGTAATTTTGATATTTGTTTGAAAATTAAAAAGGGTTTGGGCTTGTTTTAATACCTTCGTATTAAAGCAAAGTTTCAATAAACGATCGCCATAAATTGTGTTTCTTCGCGCCAGGAAACCACAGTCGCGGTTGGCTTCCGGAAAGTCGGTAATATTTTTTCCGTTCGCTCACATGAAATAAAACGAGATCAATTATCTCGATGGAATGCGATCAAGCAAAGTATGAAATTTAGACCAGCCGGATTTCCGGACGCACAAGTCACATTTTCAAAATTAGAAACGCGATGCACCTGGTTTTCCACCAGGTTGCAAATTGTCGTTTTCATCGAGGCTATCTTCATAAGGAACCGTTCAATTAGTTTCCTTTGATCAAATGAGCGCCCTAACCGTAAACACCAATTTTAGGTCAGCGAACGTCTCGAGTTTTTATGTGGGTAGGTAATAAAAATAACAAAAAATCCACAAAATGTCGGACGGTGGCGCCAAAAGAGCAAATCGATAACTCGACATTACATGCAAATTGGTCGGCTAGAGGGTGCAGGGTTGATTTTGTATTCGAGTTTTATGTGGGGCAATACGATTAAGGGATGTAGAAACGGGAGTGGTGGTAAATTAAGAAAAAAACATTTTAAGTTGCAATACTGAAAGGCTGTCGGTCGCTAGAGTTTTTGTAACCTACGATTATATATTTTGGTTGTATCCAACTCTTGAACAAAGCTTAGTATTTTTTGTCTCATACGAGACATACTATTTATCGAAAAACATTTCATTTAACATTAAATTACAGATTCGCATTTAGTAAATCGACACCAAACTAACACAATAGAACCTAAATATTGGTTTAAATTATAATAGTGATAATTTGTTTGTTATCTAACAACTTCTATTTGCTGGACCCATTTCATTAATCGTATCCTATTAATGTAAGCTAACATTAGAATACCACAATTTGTAAAACTCAACTCATCCTATAAAAAAAAAAACCAGAAACCTTCTAAAAAACATATAGCAATTTCAAGTTTTAACATTAAAATATTTTCGTAGGAGTGATCCTTCTATCCAACTTTAAACTATAAGTATCAAAAATCCTGCCTCTACGATGAAGGATATGTTTGCAGTTTTTAAGCTTCACTTCAAAGAGTATAGTATTAGAAGTAGTCAAGAAGCAGATTTATTTAGAGCCTCAAAAAAATGTCACATAATATCGCTTAAATGCAGGATGACTAAAACACTAAGGTTAAATTGATAGTAAAAATGAAACATTAATGACGAAAACCTTTTAACTTGTTGAAATAAATCATACTGACAAATTGAAGACAGTCCTGTAAGACTAATGTTTGATATAAAAAATTAAATAAAAACTTCTATACTACATGTATAAGGGAGAAAGTCATGTTTACCGTAGGAAAAATAGAACTCAAAAAATTTTTTACTTACACTGTCTTGCGTAACAAAAGCGTTGTTATTATAATTGTTTTGTCATTATTATTATTAAAAAAAATTCGATCTTTGTTGTTCGAAAATATAGTGTCGTACGAACGAAGGCGGTTTTTTACCTCTCCCCAACACAAAAAATGTTTGGCTTGACGCCAACTGGGACGATTGGTTTTTTCGATGTGCTATTTTTGCATTGACAATCACGAAACCTCTCTGTCAACTCGGACTACCCATCACGTCAGGCCGGTCAAGAAGCATGCACTTTGAGTCAAAAGTCTTAGCCTTTTGTACTAGATAAATTCCATATTTTCATTATTTACGAGTAACACAACACCGTCGCAGTCGAACAAACAAATAAATCTGTGATCAATTTGTGCAAACACGGTGGCCAATATAGACCACATTTAGATTTAACGTCCTGTTTTATTATTGTTACGTACATAGAACGTTATTTTCTGGCGAGGTAATAAAATAAATAAATGTTTCTGATAAAAAGGGTAGTTAAAATTTAAGTTTTTTTCATAATCTTTTTTGCTATTATACACCAAGACATTGCTATTTAGACTATAAATACATATTAGAGATTATTGTGTTTGTGTTTCGATATTTTTGTCTTTTAGATTATTTCATGGTTAG